CGAAAAAACCCACAACAACCCAGTGATTCCGGCCATGAAAGCCTTTGACAATACTTTAATACCTTTGGTTAATTCTAGTTTATAATGAGATGCTTGAAAGATGTCGACTCACAAGAGCCTTCGTCAGGCGGTTGGGTCTACAAACAACACATATCATGAATACACATATACAATTGAACAATTTGTTATAACAAACAGAACATCCAAAAGGGTTAAACAACACCAACTCATATGACTGCTTTTTATAACAGAGTAGGTTTTACCCCAATGTATTCTGAACTGATAATGATGTCACTATCACCTGACCAATGGACTTGCTATATTAGTAATGGGGTGAGTTATTTTGATCCTATGCTCGCCACAGAATAAAACTCCTTGCAGAGTATATTGCTCAACAAAGAATAGCTGTGAGTATTATATTATTTTTGTTTCATAGATATTATTTCTCTATGTATGGTTTATAATTCATGTCACAATGTACCTTTAGCCACTATCTATGTCCCCTTAGGATCCACCCCTCCAGAAGACTGTTGGTGAATTTCTCACCTCAAAAGTTGAGCTTTTTTTGTGATAATTTGAGTAAGTAGAGTGTCTGTATATATTCTTACAAACCTGTTATAACAAATTGTTCAATTGTATCTGTGTATTCATGATATGTGTTGTTTGTAGACCCAACCGCCTGACGAAGGCTCTTGTGAGTCGAAACCGGTTGCAGGTTGGAGTCAATTCATGTGACTACTGGAGTCTACTCATATGTAATAAAGAACAGGACATTTTCTCAAACGAAGACTTTGTTTTATACTTTAGGAGAAGAACCAGTTGTTTCTACTTAATGTGAATGTGGCAGTTTTTTTTGATATGTGTATTTGTAATATATACATTGAGTTAATTTAGTTATTTTCATATTACCACAGTCAGTGGATTTTGGTCTCCACAGTTTCAGGGGAACCCATTTTTCTTTTTGATACTTGAAAGATGTGACAGGCTGTAATTAAGACAGGAAAATGTGGACGGGGGCATCAAAAAGCAAAAAAATAAGATGGAGACTCACCAGGAAACATTTTCCCCCAAGTTAGCCCTATAGGTACATTTGTTGAACTACCCGAAGAAGGCAGGCATTAGAGTCAGTATAGTACACTATAATTATTTCATCACTCTAGGGTCCCTTCTACACTGCCATATAATCCTGATTATTAAAGCAGACAATCTACATTATCTGCTTTGAACTAGATTATATGAATCAACACTGCTATATAAACCAGCTCAAAGCAGATATCTGGATTTATATGGCATTTAGGGTGCTTCCACACAGCCATACAATCCTGAACACCAAGGCAGATAATCCACAATATCTGCTTTGAACTAAGCTATCTGAGTCCACACTGCCATATAATCCAGTTCAATGTGGATTTTATACAGCTGTGTGGAAGGGGTCTAGGGATGGATTTACACTGCTCTATATCCCAAGATCTGATCTCAGATTATCTCATAGTGTACATTCATATAATTCAGTTCAAATCAGATAATCTGGGATTGTATCCTGGGATGTAGAGCAGTGTAGGGCCCTTCCACACAGCTATATAACCCAGAATATGAAAGCGGATAATCCACAATATCTGCTTTGAGCTGGATTATCTGAGTCCACACTGCCATACAATCCATTTCAATGTGGATTTTATGCAGCTATGTGGAAGAAGCCTCAAACTCTGCTCCTCCAGATCTTTAGGCCTTCAGCTCCCACAATTCCCAACAGCAGGTAAACTGGCTGGGATTTCTGGGAGCAAAGTCAAAAAATACCTGGAGGAGCAGAGTTTAAGAAATACTGCTCTAGAGAGGCAGAGGCTCTTAGTGGAACATCTTAGGCCCCTTCCACACAGTTGTATAAAATCCAAATTGAACTGGATTATATGGAAGTGTGGATTCAGATAATCCAGTTCAAAGATGATATTGTAGATTTTTATTTTGTATCAAAAGCATTGCATAAATTAGTATAAAACTGATAAAATAGAAGGTATGCAAGCGGCTAAATATTTTTTGACCAAAAACAGGCAACGGCATTGTCTGTAGCCTCCGATATTGTGGATTATCTGCCCTGATATTCTGAGTTATATGGCTGTGTGGAAGGGCCCTCAGAATAAATGGTGACATAGCAGTTGAAACACTAGACTATTTATTTATTATTTATTTCGGTTACTTCTACCCCGCCCTTCTCACCCCGAAAGGGACTCAGGGCGGCTTATAAAGGCACAATTCGATGCCAGCATCACATAACAGTAGTAAAGTAGACTAACAGTAGACTAGTATTAGAGAGATGCAGGGACAATCCCCATTTAGCCATGTAGCCAACCAGGTGATCTTTCTCCACTTACTATCTTTTAACAATCCTTTTAATAGGATTGTTATGAGATACAAAAGTGGAACTATGTACTACTTTGAATTCTTTGAGTCTATAAATCCGATAACTCATAAACTTCAGGAAAACAAGATTAAAAACCTCTGTAGTAGAAAACCCATAAATCACATTCTCATGTCCTAGTTTTGTTTTCTTGTTTTTTTTATTTAAAATAACATGTCCAAAATACTTCAAAAAATCCTGGTAATTTATCTTAGTTTCCATGCTTTCTATATCTTTGTTTAGCTTAATGGATCTATACCATATTGAGGACGAGGGGCAGTAGAAAAATGTGAGTATGTGAAATTACTACTGCTCTGGCTTCCACTGAAGTTAATCTGCCCATATTTCTATCAAATTATTTAGCCCCTGCAACAAGTGTATATTTTTCTACCCCAGTACAGATTTCTTTTTCTCGTAACACAATGGAATAAGCTTGGCATACATTTTTCCTGATAGCTACATTTTCTACCAAGACACAACAAATGATCACAGATGTGAGCAAAGTTTCAGGGTAGGGCTTTTAGGACACCTTGCAAGTATCTGGAAAAGATTAATGCTGACATATTTTCTTAGCTTAACTGTTTCCTGAAAGAAAATGTCAAATGATAACGTTGATGCCTGTGCTTGCCTCAGGAAACAAGATGAAAGATGGTTGGCGAGGAAGGGGGAGGGGGGACTGTCATCTTTTACTAAACATTAAGGTACCATCACAGTTTCTGCATGGCTCGTACTTCTCTACTGAGACATTTCTCTAGGAGCTGAAAAAAGTTTCCTGGCCATGTGAGCTGGAGGATTTGGGGTTTTTTAGTCCATTTAAATAATTTTCCCCTCATGTTTTATTGCAATATCAGGGGTTTGCAAGATAACATCCTAAAATCATCCTAATGTAACAAAATTTGGGGGAAAATATCTCCCTAGTTTTGAAAGTGTTAATTCCTTTTTAATTGTGCGGTACTGACTTTGAAAGTAGATTATACACCCACAACTTCATTTTTGTGGCTGCCACAAACTATGTTGAATTGGTTGAAACTCTGAGATACTCATTGAAAAACTATTGCAAAATGCACTGTAGGAAGTCCTACAAAATAAAGTTTTTGCAGCTTAATAAACCCGATGGCGCAGTGGGTTAAAACCTGAGCTGCTGAGCTTGTTGATCAAAACATCACAGGTTCGATTCTGGGGAGCGGCGTGAGCTTCTGCTGACAGCCCTAGCTTCTGCCAACCTAGCAGTTCGAAAACATGCAAATGTGAGTAGCCAGTTAGGCTGAGAAACTGTGGTATACAAGGACAGTAAATAAATAAATAAATAAATAAATAAATAAATAGATCAATAGGTACCGCTCCGGCGGGAAGCTAACGGCGCTCCATGCAGTCATGTCGGCCACATAACCTTGGAGGTGTCTACGGACAACGCTGGCTCTTCGGCTTAGAAATGGAGATGAGCACCACACCCCAGAGTCAGACATGACTGGACTTAATGTCAGGGGATTACCTTTACCTTTACCTTAAACCTTTTCCATGGTTTTATGACAGAACCAATTAGGAAATGACATTTATAACAAAAATCGTGTTATATAATGCAATTTAAAATATACATACATGGAGAAAGAATGAACTAGATATGTTTTGTTTATATGTTTGTTTTATATCCTGCTTTGCCCCCTGCAGGGGATTCAAGGCCTCTCAGAATTACTGTATATACTCGAGTATAAGCCTAGTTTTTCAGCCCTTTTTTTAGGTTGAAAAAGTCTCCCTTGGCTTATACTTGAGTCAAGGTTATTTATTATTTTAGTCTGTTGTTGTTGTTATTATTATTTCATTTATTATTTTATTCTATTTATTATTGCATTTATCATTTTACTCTATTATTATACATTTGTTATTTTACTGTATAATTGTTGTTAATGCTACATTCATTATTTTACTCTTTTTATTATTATTATTATTATTACATTTGTTATATTGCTCTCTTTATTATTATTGGAAGGATACATAAGCACATTTACATTGAAGAAGCTAAATAATTATTTAATCAGTTGGACAGTCTTATCTTTACCATTTTTGTAAATATTCAAAAATATATAACCTACTGACTATTTATTTATTTATATACCGCTTTTCTCAGCTGTCAGACGACTCAAAGCGGTGATTTAATTGGTATCTATTTTTATTTTGAAATTTACCCATAGCGGCTGCATTTCCCACCCTCGGCTTATACTCGAGTCAATCTGTTTTCTCAGGTTTTTTTGTGGTAAAATTAGGTGCCTCGGCTTATATTCGGGTCGGCTTATACTCAAGTAAATTAAACTTCTATTTAAAATACGTGACCTAGAAATACAAGTTAAAAGCAAATTTAGGGGGCAATCAATATTCTTGAGCAAAGTGCTCTTCCAGTGATAATTATTAATGCCTGAATCTGGGCTCCCTTTTTAATTCTTTCTTTCCTCTTCAGCAACAGGCGGCTCAGCTGTGTCTGGCACATAGGTGAGAAAAATCCTTTTGAAAGAGTGCAGCTCTCAGAACCATGCTGGTTGCAGCTCCATTCTTAACTCCCCACGATGCTGTAATATTTCATGTCTTAAATTCAATATTTCTGGAGAAAATCTATGCACTATCCATCACACAGGGGCATATAGTGGATCCCAGACTCTCTTGACTAATACAAAACAGAAGGTTGAGGAAAGAGAACATAAAGCAGGGGCAGATAACTGTTGGTGCCTGGGACATCTTGGAAGGCTGCACCTCCTCCCCCAATTAAATTTGCATTTCCTCCATGGAGTGTGGGGGTAATTTCTCTATCTTTCTTGCTTTCACTGGTAGATAGTGAACCAAATGTCACTTTCTCCCCCACTGAGTTGAAAGGGATAGCCAGGCCCTCAATGGACCTGATGTCATGGGAAGACATAGGAAGGGCCAAGCAGATCTGAATCTGCTCCCTCAGCCACATGTTATGAGAGCTGTATATTAGTCCCAGAGAAGCACTGTAATTCAGCTGTCCAGCTGCTCAGAATACAGCTCCTAGAAGAGGCCCTACTGTCTTACAAACCACATCCAGTACCAATCAGCCAGGGAGTTATTCCTGAGAACTTGGGCAATAGCCCAACCAAATAGAGAAAAAAGCAGAGTGAGGCTGAACTTTCTGAACTTTCTGTTATTGAGGCTGACCACATTGGTTGGCCTATACTCTCTTCATCTCTTTTAGGGTAAATCTACATTGATTACTCAGGGAGCAGGGCCAGAAAATCAGCTCCATGGTGGCTAAATGACAAAAGAAACCAATCCAGGCTTACATGGGAAAAAGCTGCTTAATACTGCTTAGAATCATGTTCCAAATTCTCCCCTGTTCCAAATTCTCCCCTAGAATCTGGAGATAACCTCCTTGGCCCTACCTCTCAGCTGTCACTCCGGGTGACAAGGGAGCAGCACCATCCATTGACCACCACCACAAAGTTTATGGGAGGGCACAGTAAGGGTGGCCATCTAGTGGCAGTGATGGTTCAGCAGGTTTAGTGGTGGCTCAGTGTGTGTGTGCCAGTCTAAACCATCCTGGGGTCAATCTGGCATTCACCACTCCAGATCAGCTCTAAAATAAGTGGTGGGTGTAGAACAGCCCTTCTATATTGGCTTTTTCTTTTCTTTTCTTTTCCTTGTTGACTTATATTTATTATAATCTAAATCTACTAGTTCTGACAAGGACTGAATAGCTATATCAATAGTAAGGGTAAAGGTTTTCCCTGACATTAAGTCTAGTCGTGTCTCTGGGGGTTGACGCTCATCTCCATTTCTAAGCCAAAGAGCTGGCGTTGTCTGTGGATGCCTCCAAGGTCATGTGGCTGGCATGACTGTATGGAGTGCAATTGTCTTCCCACAGAGGCGGAACCTATTGATCTACTCACATTTGCATGTTTTCAAACTGCTAGGTTCGCAGAAGCTGGGCCTAACAGTGGAAGCTCACCCTGCTTACTGGATTCGAACCGCCAACCTTTTGGTCAGCAAGCTCAACAGCTCAGCTGTTTAACCCACTGCACCACCCATACTGTATCAATGACAGCTGAGTAATTGAACACACATGAGGTCCACTGGTTTAGTGACACTACTCTAGTTGGGTCTATCAACTGGATTTAGGTGATAATCTGGTATTAAAGGACATTCACTACTATAGTATGCTAACTTACAAGTGTCTAGTCAGATGAAAACTCTTAGGATTTACAGGCAAATAAATACACCTGTTTGTTACCTCAGTGTTCTTTTACTATATGAAAGCAACAGCAGCCTCCGCATTCATATTTCCAAAAGTTAGGTAAATGCTCTCACCTTCCTATTCAGCTTCTGAGTTTCTGGAAAGTTTTCAATTTTGTTGCAAGACAACAAGGCTTTCTTTATGAATTTATATTATTACACCTCAGAGTTGTAACAACTCAGATAAATTAAGAGTGAATTGTTCCATTCAAATACTAGAGCCATTTATTTTATAGTACAGGGAAGCTACAATACCCACATGTCCTCAATTTATTAAAATAAAGATATAATTTTCTCTCAGAAATTTCACAGTAATCCATATGCAAATTTCACCCATTAAATCAAGCAATTGGAACTCTTGGTGATTACTTGATGGCAATTTCTTTAATGAGGCAACTGTCCAGGGTGGGTAAAGTGTGGATTTACATGTATTGTTGCACTGTAATTTTCTGCAATCCTCACCAATGGGTACGATGGGAGGATGTAAGCTGTATACCAAGTACATCTGGAAAGATGCACTTTGCCTATCCCTCCCCTATACATTTTAAACCATATTTTCACAAGTTTCTCTATTATGATAATGAATATCACACAATCACAGTCCTGGGTTAATTTTTTTATGCACCATGGAAGTTGCATGGAGATTCCCTGCTACAAATGTTGAGACCACCAGTTTCAACTAAAGTATAAAAACAGGGGAAACTACACAAGTAGACTCTGTTTGCCCTTTTGTTTTCTGCCTTAAAACCCATATTTATTTATCTATTTGGATTATTACTTTTATTTAGTCCTTTTTCAGTAGTGAGTTCAAAGAAGCATGAATGGAACTATATCTTCATGATAACTCTTGTGTGGTAGGCACAATTGAGAAAGACAGTGACTGGACCATGGTCACCCATCAAGTTTTACTGCTCAGGGGGAGCAAAAGTTCTTGATTTCCAATCTATCTAACACACCAACAATCTAACTACTTTTATGCCAAAGTGTCTGATTAAACAGGATGCAAGTAAAAAAAATGTGTTGGAATAAGTCTTTCATATGTTAATTGCTGGTAAATGTGACCACAGTCTAAAGACAGAAAACAGACAATGTCACAGAGGACAAGGCGTCTTAAGAATGAAAATGGAAATACCTGATCTTCAAATAATTTATTATATCCTTGGCTTGGTCCACAGTGAAGAACTCAAACCCACCACTTTTCTTGGGATTACATTGTCCAATTCCTGCCATTGCATTCATAAGTTCTTGGATGTTCTGTTCCAGTGTCATATGTTGGCCTGCAATGCAAACCAACAAAATAATTACCCAAGCTTCCCATTTAGAAAATTTACATTCAAGCATAATGGGTGGGGAAACCTATTTTCACCATCTGCAACTTTTAAAAGTATTGTACTTTTAAAGGGTGTTTACAAAAAAAGAAGTTGAAAGCAAAGAGAAAAATTAAAAGGCAAGGGAGGGTGGAAGAGTAATTCAATAGAATAGAAATCAAGGCTAGACATCACATATGTAGATCCTATTTCCAAATATATACAGTGTGAGGCAGCATAACTTCCTTTTTTCAAAACTTAATAAAACCTATTGTATGAATCAGAATTTTTTATTTTTTTATAATGTAGGCACATACCTAAAGTTTTGTTTTACGTAGTTTTGAAGATCAAATTAGGTAGGTGATGTCCCCCATTCTCCATACACTGAGTAAACCGATTTCTGGCGTTTGTCATGACTCTTGCCAGCATAGCAGGCATTATGTTGGCAATTTCTTCCTGGATGTTGGTCTTCAAATCTTGTAGGGTCCTTGGAAGTTCACATAAACATGGGATTTCAAAAAACCCCATAGAAAAAAATCACAAGGGGCCAAATCTGGAGAGTGGGCCAACCATGCCAAATCCACTTGAAAAGTAGGCCTCAATGGCAAAAGCACGCTCCTCACTGTTCCAACGCATGATGGCGACTGAACTGTGTTAGGACAAGACTTTATACTCCCGCCTCTTGAACGAGACCACTAGCGCTCCGCTACGTCTTCAACCGACTGAATGGTGTGCATTTTAAAAAAGGAAGTTATGCTGCCTCACCCTGTATATTATTGTGTTTCATAACTATATAATACTAACATAGATAAAGGTAAAGTAGTAAGAGCTGGTTAGGAAAAATTATCTGTGTCACAGCAACAACATTCAGTTGGAGTAGACAATTCCTTTCTTAAAATGCTTGCAATATATCTGAAGCACTACTTTTTTTTTGCGAGATCAAACATGATTGTAACCCTGAAGAAATTTTACATGTTGAATAAAAAGCAGTATTCCCTTGGTTAAGTTGCAAAGGATTCATTGTTGCATTTAATTGTAACATGTTTAATGTTAGATTTAAGCTAATTTTTAACTAATTTTTTACTAACACAGATAATTGTACAACGCAATGAGTCGCCCTTGGGCTGAGAATCGCGGTATATAAGCGTAGTAAATAAATAAATAAATAAAATAATCAAGAATTCTAGCCTGCCACCAGAAACAGATGTAAGGTCCACCAGGTAATATGAACAACCTTCTGCTTATTGCAATCTAGTTGATCACACTGATATGCTTTCTCAAAATGCCATGGCTGCAGTCCACAATGCTACAAACAAAGACAAACATGGTATGGCTATATGCAAATTTGCAAGCCCTTGTATCTGTAACAATGCTAAACATATCCTGGAAACATCGTATATTTTGCTAGTATGGTTCGATTTTCCTGAAACAAAATCTAATCCTTTTCAAGAGAAAGATTTACTGGCGTATAAGACTACTTTTTAACCCAAGAAAATCTTCTCAAAAGTCAGGGGCTGTCTTATACGCAGGAGTCATCTTATACGTGGGAGTAGTCTTGTACACGGGAGTCGTTTTATAGGTTGGAGTAGCCTTATGAATGGGAGTCGTCTTATATGTGGGAGTAGTCTTATACGCCAGGAGCCATCTTATAGAGTGGGTGCTGAAACTTCCAATCCAGATTGGAGAATCTGTAGTTGCTGCATATTGTGAGGGGAGCTCAAAAATGGCAATGGCCGTGCCCCTGCCATACGCAGCAACTGTATGAAAGCATTAAAGGCGACACTGTACAAGTATGGTAGAAGAAAATCCATTCACCAGGATTCGTGGACTTAATGCGGTCCCTATGGTGAGGTGAAGGGGCACCTCACCGGGAAGGTGTAAGTGAAGGGTGCCCAGGGTATTGAAAAAAGAGATAGAGTGGCTCTGGACCCAGAAAAACACACCTCTTTTACCTGTCTTGCCCACCCTTGTATCCTATTACCATACCTCCTCCCTCTCAGACCTCGCTCCTGAAGACTGCAGTGAAGTGGTGCAGGTGTGCATGTGCAAGATCTGAGAGGCAGAGAAGGAGGTACAGTAATAGGAAAATTACCATATTGAAATCAAATCTGATGCTTTTAAAAATTTTATTTGGTGTGTGTTGGAAGAGGGGTAGTCTTATACGGCGAGTATATCCCAAACTCTATATTTTAACTGGAAAAGTTGGAGGTCGTCTTATACGCCCAATCGTCTTATATGCGGTACATGCTTAACTTTCTAACTGAAATCAATCAGGTTTGCATGTTTTTAAGTGGAAAGGAAAGGAAAGGTCACATAAGAGTTAATTTCTATATGAGGAACACGATTTTAATCTGTTTTCTTACATAAAATAAACAGGTGATGTTACAAATCAGCTGAATACATTCATTTGATTGCAAACTTTTTAATGTACCAAACATGCCAGGTTTGTATGGAAATGTGACACTATTTCCTGTGCTGGTCAATGACCGAAATAAATGTTTTGATTTGATTTGAACTTTATTAATTGCATTGTGTTCAGAAAGTTTTTAACAACATGAGCCTCAGCCTAAGACTACATGAAACTACACTTAAGACCACAATTTCTGGCTCTGAGACCTCGAGCTACTGAATGATAGTTAAAATAAAATTGACAAACTGGTGAAGTTTGGAATGCTCAAAAATAAGAAGAGGCTTGAAAATGCTGAAGTTAAAAATCCAAATTTTTAAAATGCACAATGCAACAAAACTTACTGTCAATGTTCTCCATCAGCAAATTTAACAGAGTCAGGAATCCTCCGAGTTGCACAGATGTGAATTCTAATGATTTAGCCCACAAAAATCCTGAGATGTAATAATCCAGTATCACAGCCTCTTTCAAAGATGTCAACCGATGTTTCAAATTTAGAAATTCTTCCAAGGCTCTGTGGACCAAAAGTGTGGTTATCCCACACTGCAGCATACAACCACAGAATACACAACTCTGACAGTCTTGATTCCCCAAACTAGAACATGCCAAACATCTTGACGCTGTAATCTGTGCAAACCCTATGTACCTGATCCAAAGCACTCCTAGTAATAATGTAATTTACACAATACACCACAGGTTTGAGCAAGGTTCAATTAGTCATTGCAATATCTTACTGGCAACCTTTGACTTTGGAAGGGATAGATATACATTAAGAAAATTCATTAACTCAGTTTGATTTTTAAAATCCTCTTAAAGTAGCCCTCAGGAGAATGGCATCAGATACATTCTCCACACACAAAAAAGCATGATTTCTAGTAAATATACTAAATAAAAACAAGTCTCTGTTAGCATGTTCTTTGGAATTAAAAATGCAGTTTGCACTCTCAGCAAAGGAAAAGAACAAGAGTAATATATATCAATATTTAGGAACAAACTTACTTTTGAACTCCAACTACATCTAGCTCCAAAAGCACAGTAACCTCTTCAAGAGAAAGGAATTTCCAAGCCATTTCCTCTTCATCTTTAGCAACAATTTCTTCTTCCTATAGCAAGTCAATACAATTCATTACAACTGCATTCACAAATGCACATATTTGATCTCAAAGATTTCTTTTAATCTCTGCATAAAGAAAAACGGTCGCCGTTCCCAACTCCAATTTAGCTGAGAAGAAATGCTAGGCAAATAAGTGAAAATGAATTTGTCTTACATTTGCAAATCAGAAATTACCGAGGAAATGCAATATTTCAAAATATTTCAAAATGTTGTTGTTTGCCTTTAAGTTGTTTCTGACTTATAGTGTTCCTAAGGCAAAAATATCATGGGGTTTTCTTGTTCAGAGAGGAAGCTTGGCAGTCACCCAATAAATGTCCATGGAAAAGATGATACTCTAGTTTATGTATGTAAATGGGCAAACAGTTACTTACTTCCAATATTGTGTGGTCCTCTGTGTCATGTCATAAATCTGTTCAGATTCTTGGCAAGAGAGAAGCCCTCTCCTCAACAGATGAAGGTGTGAAGGAGTGGTTGGTATAAGAAAGAAAGACAGACTCCATCTACAATAAGATTATAATGAAGCTTCCAGGTGATTCTAAACTCAGGTCCACAAAACACATGCCACCAAAGTAAGCTGTAGCATGCATTTAATGATATGTTGTTGTTGTTGTTGTTCATTCGTTCAGTCATTTCCGGCTTTTTGTGACTTCGTGGACCAGTCCACGCCAGAGCTCCCTGTCGGTCGTCACCACCCCCAGTTCCTTCAAGGTCAATCCAGTCACTTCAAGGATACCATCCATCCATCTTGCCCTTGGTCGGCCCTCTTCCTTTTTCCTTCCATTTTCCCCAGCATCATACTCTTCTCTAAGCTTTCCTTTATTCTCATGATGTGGCCAAAATACTTCATATTGGCCTCTACTATTCTTCCCTCCAATGAGCAGTCAGGCTTTATTTCTTGAAGTATGGACTGGTTGGATCTTCTCGGTCCAAGGCACTGTCAGAACTTTCCTCCAACACCACAGTTCAAAAGCATCTATCTTCCTTCGCTCAGCCTTCCCTATGGTCCAGCTCTCACATCCGTAGGTGACTATGGCGAGTACCATTGCTTTAACTATGTGGATCTTCATTGCCAGTGTGATGTCTCTACTCTTCACTATTTTATCAAGATTGGTCATTGCTCTCCTCCCAAGAAGTAAGCGTCTCCTGATTTCCTGGCTGCAGTCTGCATCTGCAGTAATTTTTGCACCTAGAAATACAAAGTCTGTCACTGCCTCCATGTTTTCTCCCTCTATTTTCCAGTTGTCAATCATTCTTGTTGCCATAATCTTGTTTTTTTATGTTTAACTGCAACCCAGCTTTTGCACTTTCTTCTTTCACCTTGATTAGAAGGCTCCTCAGCTCCTCCTCGCTTTCGGCCATCAAAGTGGTGTCATCTGCATATCTAAGGTTGTTAATGTTTCTTCCAGCAATTTTCACCCCAGCCTTGCATTCGTCAAGCCCCGCACATCGCATGATGTGTTCTGCATACAAGTTGAATAGGTTGGGTGAGAGTATACAACCCTGCCGTACACCTTTCCCAATCTTGAACCAGTCTGTTGTTCCATGGTCAGTTCTTACTGTTGCTACTTGGTCCTTATACAGATTCCTCAGGAGAGAGATAGGGTGATTTGGTATGTCCATACCACTAAGAACTTGCCACAATTTATTATGATCCACACAGTCAAAGGCTTTAGAATAGTCAATAAAACAGAAATAGATGTTTTTCTGAAACTCCCTGCCTTTCTCCATTATCCAGCAGATATTGGCAATTGGTCTCTCGTTCCTCTGCCTTTTCTAAACCCAGCTTGTACATCTGGCAACTCTCTCTCCATGTATTGCTGGAGTCTTCCTTGCAGGATCTTGAGCATTACCTTACTGGCATGAGAAATAAGGGCCACTGTACGGAAATTTGAGCAGTCTTTAGCATTTCCCTTTTTGGTATAGGGATATAAGTTGATTTTTTCCAGTCTGATGGCCATTCTTGTGTTTTCCATATTTGCTGACATATGGCATGCATCACCTTGACAGCATCATCTTTCAACAGTTCAATTTAATGATGTACATTGCATTAAAAAAAGTAACAGGGAAATTCAAGTTCAGCCAAATAATGTGTTGAAGCATGTGCTAGTATATCCCAACTCCACATAATGAAGAATTCACTGTAGCCACCTGGCTCTGATGAAATGCATTATAGAATCCTGAACGGCAGTTGCCAAAAAGTGGCTGATGGGCATACCTAGGCCCCTTGGATAAGTAATTTGTTACCTCAGTTCCTAACAGTCATTTTCTCTTTCTATAGCTCTCATCCTGGATCACTGATGAAATTCAATCACCCACATGGACTTAAACCAGTTCCAGACCTGTCAATCTAATCACCCATAAAAGAAAACTGGTTCCAAGCTGCATTATAGTGTCCGTGTAGATGTTTCCAAGGATTGGTGGGGTGGGAGGAGGTTTTGTAGAAAGGAAGAAGCGGATAATTCTTGGAGATCTGGTTTCATTCACCATTCACTCTAAGAATGTAGCTCTTTACAGATTGTCCTCAAAGGAATGTGAACCTAAGAGAAAATGTCTTCTAAACTTGTGCTAAACAATACATTATAAATTGGAAAAGTTGCTTCTAGGATGGAGCATCCAGATATCCACATCTGATATAGTCAGTGGGAGGCTCTGACAGTCATAGTGATAGAAACTCACTGTTCCTATAACTGTAATAAACAGAAGTCTGAAATTGTAAGGTAGTAGTTATTATGAGCCACAGGGACACTCCCCTTCTTAACACATCTCTGTCAATTTGTCAAGACCAAAATAAAAATAGAAAAGAATGCTATGCATTCAGAATTTTCTTTCTGCTTTTGCCACATGCTGAAATAGCTATCCATCCAATCCTTACAAGTTGTTTCCCTAGCGTGTTTTCTTTCTCCTTCTTATCCTTTCTTTTTTGTGAATAAGTCTAATATTCAGTATTATGTACACTGCACCCAAAACATGTACAGTTCGAATTATCCCAAACACTAAATCCAAAAAAGAAAGAAATTGATCGATCTCTCTCTCAAAAGAAGCAATGGTTGAAGAAGATCAGAGAAGAGAAAATATTTCTGTGGTTGGATTTCACACACAAGATTTCATATCAGTAGCTTTTATGTATCTTTGAAATTTTATTATTCAAAGCCTTGACTACGATATGACTGAACAGAATAATAGCAGATAGGTTCACTGTTTCTAAATATACCTTTATTTCCGAAAGTTAGCTTAAATTCAATAACATCTATTTTTGAGCTGTTCCATTTCTTAAACAAGGAAGCACGCCAAAAATAACTATGTTGATTTATAGCTCCACTCAAAATAGAGAAAGTCATGTCCTACAAGACAAAGTCAGCATGAGAAACCCCCCCCCCCCCCCAGCAGAGTGTCCACAATGTCAAACAATTTAATATCTTGAGATCTACATTATATTCAAATCAGCCATGCAAATGGTAACACACAGAGATTCCTGTTCACTTAAATGGAGAAAATAATACAGGCAGTCCCCAAGTGATGAAAAAGATGGGTTCTGTAGGTTTGCTCTTAGTTGAATTTTTAAGTAAGTCAGAACAGGTACATTTTTAAGTGTCACTCCGGCCACATCTATATCTATATCTCTGTCTATATCTATATATAAATGATCTGTTCATTTTTAGTGACATCACAACTCAAAACCCGCTGGACAAATTAATGCCAAATTTGCCCACAATACACTTACTAACCCAAGGAGTTACCAAAAAGCATAGTGACTGAGACTTTAAACCCCCCCAACCCCAAATGTAGATTGCTTACCTGTAAACGTAGTTCCTCGAGTGGTCACCTGTGAATTCGCACATATGGTATTTCCTGTGCCTGCGCAGACAGTTCAGAATCTTCTAGAAATTAGACACTTTTAGGTGGTAGCCCCATCCACTCTCCCCTTGAGAGTATATAAAGCCAGTGGGAGGGGCTACTGCCTTAGATCCTTTCATACACCGCCATTGCAGCAGCTAGGAATCTTTCTCTCATTTTTCTTTTTCTCATTTTTCTTCATCTTTGACTAGCATTTCTGGACAGTGTAAAGATTCTGAACTGTCTGTGCAAACCATGATGGGGAACCTAGAATACAATATAGCTATGTGTGCAAAAAACTTGCCTGGCCCTGCCACCCTCCTGCATGAGGGAGAACAAACCAAACAGCTGTCCCACCTCTCGCAAGAAGATCCTGCAGAGGTGACCATCAGTAGAGAGGGCTTTGATGGTGTCTTCCTTTATGGCAAAAGGAGGTTGGACTGGATGGCCTCCCCTGGGTCCACCTGGCAGAGGAGAAGCTCCCTACAGGAGTTGGCTATTTGTCTGAATTCTTCTTTGGTGATTTCTCCCCTTTTCCACTTCTTGTGCATGTCTCTTTTGTGTCTTTGCACAGTTAGAAATTCTTTGGACATCCACTGTGGCTTCTTTGGCACTTGTCCTATTTTGTTGGCACTGTTTGCAATTGTGCCTTGAGTATTTCAGTCTTGAGAAACTCCCATCCATCCGTAACTCCCTTGTCTTTTAGTATCTGTGTCCACGGAATGCTGCTCAGTGTTTCCTTTTCCAAATGAGAGACTCCGTCATGGGCACACAGAAAAATGGGCGACTTGGAAAGTGCTGACCAGACTGCGCTCTGGCACCATGAGCCAATGTTAAGAAATGGAGCTACAAAGTGGAGTCCATGACATGTGAGTGTGGAGAAGAGCAAACCACAGACCACCTATTACAATGCAACCTGAGCCCTGCCACATGCAAAATGGAGGACCTTCTTATAGCAACACCAGAGGCATTCCAAGTGGCCGGCTACAGGTCAAAGGACATTTAATAGAATGCCAGGTTTGCAATCTTTGTGTTTTTTAAAAAAATACAATATAACTGCTTGGTTCACTCCTGATATAATAAATAAATAATGTGGCCCTGAGCATACTGGTATATAAAATAGGCTTAAAATCAAACATTTACTGATAACACATC